TTTTACATTACTGTGGATGTTGGGTTTAGGGTTGGGTAGGGGTAGACATTATTAACATCCAATGCAATGCAATTTAATAATTATCATGAATAATACTTCATAAAATCACGATAGACATTAATAAAATACAATTTAATGTGTCATTTAATAAATATTATGAATAATATTCTGTATAATTACTGTGTTTACATTACTGTGATGGTTGTGTTTAGGGTCGATGTAAATAAAATTACAATTTAATTGGTAATTTAATAAATAATATAATTAATACTCTGTATAATTACTGTTTTTACATTACTGTGATGGTTGGAATAGGGGTGGACGTTAATAACATAAAATTTATTGAATAATTTAACTAATAATATGAATAAAACTCAGAATAATTTCTGTTTTTACATTACTTTGGTGGTTGGGTTTCGGTTGGGCTAGGGGTAGACGTTAATAAAATAAAATTAATGGATTATTTAATGAAAAATTTAATTAATTGACATCTGGCCACAGCTGTATCCCATCTAGCAACAACCTAGACGCACTTCACTTCTCTCTCCGGCTTCCCGAAGTGGTTCTTCTTGCAGGCCACCTGACCATGATAAAGACCAATCAGAGCTCTGGATTCTGATGACATCGCCAGCTGACCGAAGTTCTGGAAAACAGATGAGAGGGGTTGTTTTCTTTGTTATCATTTGTCTGATTTTTTCATTGTTAAGATTATTTTATTTATTCATTCCTTTTCCTTCGGCTTGGTCCCTTTTTTATCAGGGGTCGCCGCAGCTGAATGAACTACCAACTACTTCAGCATACGTTTTACGCAGCGGATGACCTTCCAGCTGCAACCCGGTACTGGCAATCACCCATACACTCTCACATTTACACACATACACTACGGAAAGTTTGGAGTGTGAGGGAAAGCGGAGCACCCGGGGGAAACCCACGCCAACATGGTGAGAACATGCAAACACGACCTTCTTGCTGTGAGGTGACAGTGCTGACCACTGAGCCACCGTGCCACCCTGATAAGGATAATTATTTAGCCTATTTGATATTGTATGTATATACATGTATTGTTTTCACAGTTTTTTGGCATAACAATAAAGAAAACAGAAAAATAAATGAATAGAAAACAGAAGAGAGGCACATTGGGAACACTAATGCAAATCGAGATGCATGATGTCATATTTGCTTTTGTACAAGATAGGATTGATTCAAAAAGTACAACTTATATTCTTATTCAGCTAATAAGTTTACTTGGAAAATATCATATTCATGTTAATAAATGTGTGAAAGCTCAGCCAAATTGTGAGCATTTTATAAAAGAGACTAATGGTCCCATAAAATGTACACATTTTTTAGATGTTAGTGCGAGTATTGTTAGATTTTAGGGTATCTATAAGCTAGTGTGCTCCAAAACAAAGGGCCCTATCATGCACCCGGCGTAATGCTAAGCAAGACGCAATTGTTGTTTGCTAGTTTCAGCTCGACACAAGAGTCATTTGGACGTATTGCAGCACGCTGTTGAAATAGAAAATGCATTTGTGCTCATATGTGCGCCCATAGATTTTCTGGTATAAAAAAGGAGGTGTGTTGAGGCGCACTGCTGGTGCGTCTCTATTTTGAGAAACTATAATAGACTGCACAATAGACCAGCTAAGAGGAGGTCTAAAGTCTAGCACAGAGCGCATTAGTTGAGCGCTCTCAGAGCTCATTCACTAACCATGCCCACACACAAATTTATGCATGAAATGTGCCTCGGATGTTTTCACAAATAAATCATGATTCATAAAAACATCTGTACAAAACTTTATGATGATCTGACTGATAAAAACTGATAACCATGCAAAAATCATGTGCGCCCGGGGGCCTATAAACATGTATGAAGAACCCTACATATAATTAGATATGTTATTTACAGGGTTATTGAAAAGTAACTAGACTTAATAAATGTGTATATAAATAAATATAGAAATACTGACCTGAGCTTCAGCCAGGTATCCTGCAGCGTTTCCTTTTTCAATGCCGGTCTGAATACACTGAAAACACATAAAAAGTGTGAGTTCATGATCAGGTGTGTGGGTGTACAGTTGAAGTCAGAATTATTCGCCCCCTTTGAATTTTTCTTTTTTAAATATTTCCCAAATGATGTTTAACAGAGCAAAGAAATTTTCAAAGTATGTCTGATAATATTTTTTTCTTATTTTAAGTCTTATTTGTTTTATTTCGGCTAGAATAAAATCAGTTTTTAATTTTTTTAAAACCATTTTAGGGACAAAATTATTAGCCCCTTTAAGCTATATATATTTTTTTATATAGTCTACAGAACAAACCATCGTTATACAATAACTTGCCTAATTACCCTAACCTGCCTAGTTAACTAAATTAACCTAATTAAGCCTTTAAATGTCACTTTAGACTGTATAGAAGTGTCTAGAAGAATATCTAGTCAAATATTATTTACTGTCATCATGGCAAAGATAAAATAAATCAGTTTTTAGAGATGAGTTATTAAAACTATTATGTTAAGAAATGTGTTGAAAAAATCTTCTCTCCGTTAAATAAAAATTGGGGGAAAAATAAGCAGAGGCGCCAATAATTCAGGAGGGCTAATAATTCTGACTTCAATTGTATGTGTGTGTGTTTACCTCTATAATCTTCAGCGGTGCAGGATAAAGACCTTTACTCTGTTTCATGACTTTGCCATGGACAGTTTTGTAGATCTGTTGCCGGACCAGTGACAGACCCATCACAAAATCCTGCACCTCTGGAAAAAAAGATTATATTGTAATACGTTGTTAATTTTAAAGGGAACCTAATTTACCCCTTTTTTAAGATTTAATATAAGTCTTTTGCGTGTCCAGCATGTGTCTGTAAAGTTTCAGCTCGAAACACCCATTAGATTATTTATTATAGGTTTCAGAAGTAATTTTCAGCGCCGAGCATCTTGTAGCTGTTTTTGGTGCCTGTGCCTTTAATGCAAATGAGCTAGTTCTCCCTGCACACGATTCCCCTGTCTTGTGGATATGATTCATTTTCTTTCTGGCTTAGTCCCTTTATTAATCTGGGGTCGCCACAGCTGAATGAACCGCCAACTTATCCAGCATATGTTTTACGCAGGGGATGCCCTTCAAGCTGCAACCCATCTCTGGGAAAGCCTTGTTTATCTTTTAATAAAAAATTTAAATTGTATACAGCAGGGAAAATAAGTATTGAACACATCACCATTTTTCTCAGCAAACATATTTCAAAAGGTGCCGTTGACTTAAAATTTTCCCTGGATGTTGATAACAACCAAAGGAATCAATATATGCACAGAAATGAAACCAGGGTGGACATTTCAGCAAGACAAAGATCCAAAACACAGCCAAGGAAACTCTCAAATGCTTTCAGAGAAAGAAAATCAAGCTGTGGAATGGCCCAGCCAATCACCTGATCTGAATCCAATAGGAAATACAAAATAAATATCAGATATGATAGACGAGAACCACAGAACCATCAAGATTTTTACACTGTGTTGAAGAAACTTACACCTGAGTAATGCATGTGACTTCATTCTCCATATGAGAGGCATCTTTAAGCTGCCATCACAAAAAAAAGCCTTTTATATAAAGTATTAAACATGTTTCAGTAGTTCAGGGTTTGGGGAGGGGGTGGTTGTCTTCACGTGAACAAAGCTGCTGTCCTCGTGCATCCAGGTTAATCATAAACAACTCAGCTAGTTGCACTATCGCGGTCTGATTATGTTTCAATCAAGGTTTATATGTATCGAATACATAACATCTGTGCCAAACATCTTAGCAATAATACAACCGTATAGCCGAATTAAATGTATGCTTTGGCATGTTAAAGCCCTAAGGAGTATGATTATGTGAAACTCCATTTAGATACATATTGCAATGATTTCGGGTATTTACTTAGCGATGCACGTACACATATATGCACATATCTATAATACCTGTTTTATAACTGTTGATTAAACTATCAACAACCACCACTGAGACATTCTAGCGATCGTTCTTCCCGCTCCGTAGTGGATTTTGGCATAGTCCATTTTACGTGAGATGGCGGGGGTGAGTGTAAGAAACCAAGTCGCGGGGGGAATATTTTCTACAGAAATAATTTATGATTTCTTATGTGGCCTGGTACTAATTGTTCCACGGACCAGTACCGGTCCGCGGCCCGGTGGTTGGGGACCACTGCCTTAGAGTACTCTTAATGTTGTGATATCGGAAATAATATCGAATATCAATATTTTCCAAGCTATTGTCTCGAAGTTAGAAATCCCAGTACTCTGACAACATCAGTCTGCCATATGTTGATGCTGATGTGTTTGTCTTACTCTGCATGAGCCCTTTCTTCTTTTCCAAGGTGACTTTTTTAGCAGCGAGACCTTTAGCAAAATCAACAGCCACTTCCTCCAGATACTCGATTGTCCTTTCTTCTGGACTCTTCAATCCGGGACCTGCCATATACCACACAAATATTTAAATCCACTTCAGTCTGCAACAGTGCATGTCAAAATCCTATTGGGGACCATTAATCATTATGACTAAATTACCCAGAGGATCCACCAGCTGATGGACGAGCCCCATTTTCTTGGCTTTATCCGCCCGTATGTTTCTGCCAGTCAGCATCATATCAAACGCAGCAGGAAGACCGACCTAAAACAAAGCAAAACATCAAAATACTGATGAAAATAAATCTACATTTCTGCAGTTCAGAAGAGACTGTCTGCACATGCATCTTGCGTGAAGTGTTTAGGGAGGGTCAGTAAACACCTCACCATTTTAGGCAGCCTCTGAGTGCCTCCGGCGCCAGGCAGCAGACCCAGCATCACCTCTGGGGTGCCCAGAACTGTCTTCTTACTCTTAGTGGCAATGCGGTACTGACACGCAATAGCAAACTGTAGAAACAGGAGAAAAAAATGAAAACCACTAGTGAAATTAAGAGAACGTTTATAGTCTATTATAAAACAATTACAGTCAGAATGAATTATAATATTTCATTAAATAAATCCTGCTTGTAATTCCACCCCAGCCACTCATGCACATATGTTTTGGTCTTGAATAAAACTTAACTGCTTTTGGGACACAGTTTTTAAAACTATATCTGTTTTTTGGGGTATATCTATCTTTCCTTGCCCACTGATTGCCATTTTTGGAATTTTGCCCACGTCATATAATCTTACAAAGACACAATTTGATTGCATAGCTTTTATTGTGCTCCTAGCCAAACGAATAATATTGCTTAGATGGAAGGATCAGAAACCTTCAATCCCAACATAGTGAATCCGTGATGTCCTCTTCTTCCTAAAGTTAGAAAAAATTAGACTGTCTAGAGCAGGGCTGTCCAAACTCGATCCTGGAGAGTTTAGATCCAACCTTAATCAAACACACCTGAACCAGCTAATCAAGCTTTTCCTAGACATACTAGAAACTTCCAGGCAGGTGTGTTGAAGCGAGTTGAAGATAAAGGCTGTTTCTCAATTCCAAGAACGCAGAGACCGGACTTGCGTTCTTGTGGAGAACAGTCTTGCTAGGTCACCTCGGAAGAACGAACTCGGGAGACCGCGTCCTGTGAGGAATGAGATGCTGCGTTCTTCCTGATAGTCACATGACCCTCACGCATCTTTAACCAGAAATTATTTAAACATTCCAGCATTCATACAACGATTTATTGTTTTTCCCCTTTTCACAAAATATACTATGCATAAAGACTTTACAAATATATGTTGCACAACACAAATAAAACATATTTTAAAACCAATTCCAGCAAATAAACACCCTTAATGTGTTTTTTCCTTTATTAAGATGTCCATGGTACTGTTTATATTCACTGTTTCATTTCGGGAAACTCCTGAGACAAATAAGTGATATCTCTGAACTTTAATAATAAACATATATATATATATATATATATATATATATATATATATAATGCTGTGCTTCCCAACTCCAGTTGCAATGACTTCTGGGATTTCCAGAGCGAGTTCAGTGCACAAGTCTGTATCGGTGCGTCCTCGATATAAAGAACACATCCAGGATATTTCACACGTCCACTGTTCTTGCGGTCTTGATTATTGGTTTTTAGTCGTTTTCAAGAAACGACTAAAAACTCAACTATTTAGTCTCCACTTCACTTCCTAATCTGCAAATGCCTCTCTTGATATCCCACTAACTGTACTCAAAAAAAAAAAAAATTACTAATGCTTTCCTTCTTAGACTTTACAGACCTGAAACTTGCCTATAGCACTTATTCATTGTTGCTCTTATAGTTGTGTAAGTTGCTTCCTTGTCCTCATATGCAAGTCGCTTTGTATAAATGACTAAATGTAAATGTAAATGGAACTAAACTTTGGCAGCTGATGATGATGTTAAACACCAGGACGCAAGACTCCTGAAGAACGCTTATTGGGAAACAGCTAAACTCTCCAGGACCGAGTTTGGACACCCCTGGTCTAGAGGTTCATCCTACCAGTTTAAGAAAATTTGGGACCCATTTAGGAAATATATCCAAGAACATGTTTATTGTTAAATATAGAATAAGTCTTTGTTCCAGCAAATTAACTTTTTTTCTTTTCTAAGTGCAAAGTACAGTGTATTGTGTGATTATGTATTGTGCAATTGTAGTTTTTGTTGAGCTACATTATTATTTTGTGTTTGTCTTTTTTTCTCATTGTATGCGCTTAAGTTGATACTGTCTATACTTTTTGAAATATGATTGATTTGTTTTGTCTTTTTTTACTATAATTTGCCATAAAAGTCAAAATGAAATTATTTACAAAAGAAATGATTTATAATCCACTGTATTATTAAATCTAAATATTAAGTAAGCACGGGAGACTTATAGTAAATTATATATTTTATTATACGTTTTTTTCAGTGAATAACAGATTTTTATGATTTACTAATTATTATTAAACAATTGCTACACCTTTTATTCATTAGATCATTCTATTTTTTTTCTTTTTTTATAATTATTTTTACGGGATTTTCAGATTTTTGACAGGACAGTAGAGAGAATTGACAGGAAAGCATAGGGAGCAGAGAGAGGGAAAGGATCGCCATAGGACCGCAAGGCGGTATCGAACCCGGGTCGCCACGAGCAACGGAGTGCATATGTCGACGCACTAACCACTACACCACTGGCGGCGACAGATCATTCATTTTCTTTATTAAACTTCTAAGGGGAAATTTTTGAAGGCCTTCCGCTTCACACTCTGTTTCAAGGGCCAAGGGGAAGGGGAAGGGGTACAAAAATAGAATTGGGATTGGGCCTTAGTATTACTTAACAATAGCAGAATTAATTACACATTTAAAACTGCATCTCAAAATGATTTTAAGTATTTAAAAAAATGAAATAATAAAAAGGAATAAATGCGTTTCAACTATTTTAAACGTTTCAACTATTTTTATTTCTATTCTAAAATGTTGGTGTTTTAGTTTAATTTGTATATATTCATTTTTTTATGAACATCTACATAACTACGTATATCTTAGTACTTTTTAACTATGTTTGATTGATTTTATAATACTTGTACTGATTTTTTTTAGGTTGTTCAGGGACACCAGATGAAAAATAGCCCTCTGGCTAATTCTGGTACATTTGCATAAATGCTAACTAATGTACACTGTCCCTGCCAAATAAACAAATAACAAAATAAAAGAAGACATGATCACCTCCAGTCCTCCGCCCAGACAGGAGCCGTTTATAGCAGCCACAATAGGGATTGGTGACTTCTCAATCTGCTCAAACATCTTCTGTCCCGCCTGTGAGAGTGAGGTCACTTCCTCTGCTGTCGTACAGGCCTGAATCATACTGAAAGAAGTAAATGAGGATGAATATGTCTTTATTAATGCTCTAAGCAACACGTGCTTGTGAGTGTATGCGTGTCAGTGTTGTACTTGATATCGGCTCCTGCGATGAAGCATCCTGGTTTTCTGGAGATGAGGACGGCGCTCTTTACTGATGAATTCCCCCAAACTTCATTCATCACCTCCACCATCTCAGCCTGCATGTGCTTGGACAGAGTGTTCACCTGCAAAACACACACTACTATTATTCTAAGAATTAGTAATCTTCATTTATTTATTCAGACATTTTCTTTCGGCTTAGTCCCTTAATTATCAGGGGTTGCCAGTGAAGGATTCGGATTTCTGCTTTCCAGTCCATCTCATCATGGACCAACGTTCATCCTTTTCATCATCCTGTTTCTCAGTATTTAACTGTGAATTAATTTTAATTAATGAATAAGTTAACACATTGCTTACTATAAGAATGTTCAGTGCATTTGCCTGTCTCTTTATACCTATTTTCAGGAACCAGCAAACTAGGTCAGAGGTCATGGAGACCTTGAGTGGAACTGAGGGCTGAGACCTGGAAACAACTGTTTCTATTGTTATTTCTATGAGTTAATACTGTCTAACATGTCTAAAGTGATTTTGCTATTTTTACGGTTAAATCTTTTAAAGTGATTTCTACTTTTTATTCAAGATAGACTTTGTGAAGTAAGAATATAACTGCCTGAATGTAGATTATACCAGTTTTTAACCAGTTTCGATAAAGACGGCTGACAGTACACTCAGCCTTGGATAAGAAACAGATTATACTTTAAGTGTGTGTGTTCTATTTGATTGTTGATCCGTTTCACAGGTCTGGAGTCAGCTTTAATCAGTCTAATGCCGAGTTCAGACTGCATGTTTTTTAAACTAGTCGTGTCACAGATGTTTTCACACTGCATGACTATCTGGGCTAGCGTTTCGTCGTTGCTTTGTTTACACTGCAAGATGGTTCGGTGACATGGACATTCAAATTGCATGACTTTACTATAACAGAATCGCCGACAACTTCGTCCAAACTACGCCTCACAGTCAAAAACATGTATATCTTTTGTTATTAACTACATAATGAGAAAGAAGCCTTTAATGGGGTAGAACATGTACATGTTTGCTCACCTGGGTTTAAAGGGAATTAGCCATTTCTCTTCAACGTTGATAATAAACTAATTTCTTTCTGTATGAAATGTCAAACAGACACGGTTGCTTCTAAGTCCTGTCAAACCTCCACTAGTTTTCCCTCCATTTCGTGGGTCCAAATAAACCAAAAAAGAGCGCTTTTAACTTCTCCCCCAGCCTCCCGCTGGCCTGCAGCAGGTATAGACACACGCACACACAAGTGAAAGCTGCTCTCTCATTGGCTGTAGGCGATCGCTGATGTTATTTTCAGTCAAAACTCAATTCACACGGCATGATTTGAATCGCCGACAGCTCCAGATATTTAGCACGCCAAATATCTCGCAGGCATCGGCGACTCATCGGCGATTCTCTCAGATCGCGTCTTTGATCGTTCATACTGTGTGATTGTCACTCACGTGCACGAGCAGCGATTTGCCTGTGATTTCAGGCATTTGTCTGCGATTTCTCAAAACCTGTCGGCGAGCCAAAATCGGGGCTAAAATCACGCAGTCTGAACTAGGCATAAGGGATGTCTGACGTTTATGCTTAAGATATTGTTCAGAATATACGCACAAACCCCACGTGGAAATGTTCCTAGTCTATCTGTGTTTTAACCAATCAGGTTAGGACACCTGTATGCGTGACGCAGTTAATGACGTTATTTGAGAGTATAATTGTTATTGATTGGTGATTGTAAGCAGAGCGGCCTAGGAACTCATTGCGAGTGTTGAAGCTGGCTTCTGCGAATGAAACTGCAAACTATCTTCAGTAAACTTGATTTATTTATTTAAATCTCTGACTCCGGCTCTTCTTCATCTACCAGACTGGTCATTCTTTGGGTTAAACTGTAAACTATCCCTACACCAGAGAGGAATGAACCACCAACTATATATATTCTATATAATATAATATAATACATAGTGGCGTCACGGTGACGCAGTTGGTAGCAGGATCGCCTCACATCAAGAAGGTTGCTGGTTCGAGCCCAAGCTGGGTCAGTTGGCTTTTCCGTGTGGAGTTTGCATGTTCTCCCCCAATGTTGGTGTGGTTTTCCT